ATTCATTCGGTCAGTTTTGTGAAGGCAAGAAAATTCTGTAGGTGGTGGAGAAGGAAACTGAAACGACACCCCCTGTAATGATTCTCGTTAAGCTTTTGTTCTATCAGGTTTAACATTACGACAGCAATTTCGAGACCAATGGAATCGGTAAAAGAGTATTTGGTTATTTACCCAATTACTCTTTGCAAGGAAGGCATTTAAAGGAAGTGGGAATTGTAAACCGATATTATAATTAGTAGGTATCGCCGACTATAATTATGTAAATGGTTCAAATTCAGTGGATCGAATAACCAATTTCTAAATTAGATAGACACTCAGAGGCGTATAAAATCTTTAAATCTCTTCTTTTATGTTGTAAACCTTATAAATATTTTGACATATTCAGGCAATCAAATGTATCTTATTTCCACAAATATTGAAATCTCAAATCTTTAAATCCCCGTTACAGTAGACTGTTGCGATCGCTTCAATTGTTACAAAATACACCCCTTCGTATCGTAATTCGTGGCCTAAGCTCGAAATAAAAACGGTTTAATTTACGCCGTCTCGAGTTCTACGTTGGCCGCACGTACTTCCCGCAAATTTCGCCACAAAAAAAATGTTTTCCGCATCATTTACCATTATAGGAAACAAATGAGACTCGTAACTCTAAATGCGCCAGCCGCGTGCTGCTGAAAAACGCCGAAAGGATCGTTATGTATAAATTAATGAGAGTAGCATCTGGTGTTTATTTGGGCCGTATTACGCAAAACGTCGATTATAGTCCGCCGCGGATCGGTTAATCGTGTTATTTGTATGGTAGGCTCATATTGAGTTTTAGAAAAACAAACAGTGGATGGCTTAGGGTTGAACATTGAAAGAGATACACGAGGGTTTTAAAAACATATTTCGACTTGCCTTGAAAACAAGGATACATTTTTCGCATTCTCTATTAAACGAAAATCCGTGAAAAATAAGTTAGGCTGTCAAAATCAAATCGAATATGTTTAAATAGGCTGTGCCAAATTGATGTATGTTGAAACATTTACGTAAGAAATAGAAAATAACTTGGCGACCAGAAGACAAACCCTCGTCACCCCTAGATTTCCAGCAAATTCCAACTCTTTTTTGCGCGTGAGATAATGATTTAATGTGATTGGTATCAAAATTGTACACCCTCGAGTATTTATAAAGTGCGGGACCAGTAATTAGCGATGATCGAGGGGAACGGATCACAAAATTCGCAATTACGCACATTAAAAATTAACATGCGCAATTAAAAATCGTATACGCGAATTGGGAAATAAATACCGCTATTTACTTGTACTGGGTTCTAATGACGCACTTCTAACCGTGTGAGTAGCTTCATCAGTATGTTATTTTTTGAGTAAGAGAAAGTCTAAAGGGGAAAAATAATAAAAGAGAAACGCCTGGCGTTGTAAGGGCAGCGACGACGCAACGTTAGCAAAAAATGATTGCGAAACGAATTCATGGTGAAGTGTTTTATGGTAATGTGATAATATCCCGTATAATTTATAACAATGTCGCATAAAGTCCCTCGAGATGAATATTTTACAAGCACGTATCACTCTTTTTAACTGACCTTACCAATAAATTAGCATGCGTTCCGTTATGCTCTGCCGTTATGCAGATTTCTGATATTGACCCACCCTCCCACTGTATAGCCCATGAAATTAATTTCAGATCGCATGTTGAAGATAGGATGTAATGAAAAATGCTTCTAGGAAAATGAATAAATAGCTTTGAAATATGAGTTTTGTCTATTCGGGTGGTACGTGATGGTGGAAACGCGATCACTTCGACATTATTTTCAGTGTCCTTAAGTAACTGACGATCAAAGGCGGCAGTTCGGAAGTAACTCTAGAATCAAAAATTTTCGACTGGGAGATCAGATACTTATAACAGTACTAAAACACTATGGGATGTGCGTAATTATATCGCGGTCCCTCATCATGTTTTCATGCGTTCCGAAAAAAAAGCAACTGTCCCCAACTCCTCAAGGAATTTTGGGACCATTGTTGCACATGTTTTATCATCTCCATTCGTTGGTCAAAATCTGAAACCGACCATTATTTAATTAAATCTGGCACCTGTGCAGTTTAATGTCAATTTTTTGAAGATGAATAAGTTTCTTGGGACCCAGAACGCATAGAATCTTAGGGGACTAAAATTAATTGATTACTGTCACTCTCATAGTTAAATGTAACTTGCTTAGTCGAATTTCAAGAGTAAATCTGTAAGCATTTGGGGGAATTGGATTAATTGGCAGTGCAGAATTGAAGAAAACAAATCAACAAGTAAAGATGTTTCATTTTGTCGGTGGTAGTAATGAGAAAGGACAGTAGGTATCCTTATGGGGAGATTTTTGGGATGCATTCGGTCTTGGGCAACAAGATAGTTACTACGCGGTCCAAGTTGTTTGTTTTATTGTTTTATTTTGAGCACTAAACGCGAGATTAGTTCGCGTTTTGAGTTACCAGAGGAAACTGTACGGTCGGATAGTCATATCAACTTTTTTGGTCTAGGAGGTTGCAGCTTGATTATTACATAAAAGTCTTGATCAAGAAAGTTCGCTTTGAAGCTTTAAAAAAGGCCACAAATTTTAATTTAAAGCATGCACCCCTTTGAGTAACGCCAATTTTTTGACTGCCTTACTTGATTGGATTTTTGCATCTACGAGAGTGGCGCTTGATTGTTAAATTTAGACGCAAAATTATGACTGAACTTAAAACTTGCACTGCTCAAGCAACGCAAGAAAAGGATGCTTACCCCTCACCCTGATCAAATTGACCAATTTGAAAGTTTGGATTTAGATTCAAAAGAACTTATATAAGTTTGATAGTCGAGAGTATACGCTAAGTATAGGCTTGATAAATTCAAAATTTTAGTCAATTTAAATTTGTGTGGGAATTGCAACTTCTATGTTCGAATCATTTTACTTTCTACGTATTTAAGGTCTGTAGTGTGTTGATCTTTTAATGGCTTTCGGAAATCGTAGGCTCCATAATTCCCATCTTAATTATTAGTTTTGCGTATTCCAACTGATTTCGCCGCAAACTTGACATTTGCAACGTTTGCAAAGTGGAACTAGCGTAGGATGGCAATTTGAAACTCTAACTCGCGTGTAAATCATTTGTTTTTTAGAAAAAAAGGTTCACTTAATGACGAGATGGCGAGCGTTAATTAATTAAAAAGAGAATAGGTAGGAGGTTGGAGAAATGTTGCTGACGTAAAAATTGAATTAATTAGAATACATTGCTGTTGTATACAAGTGTAGTTATTTGTGCATCGTAAAGAATTTTCAACGCCAAAGTTTTACTTTTGCTGGTGTAATTTGAATTATTGATTCTTATTGAGTATTACTTTCGGTTTTAGTATACGAGTGCCTGATTAGTGTCAGACGTTAGACATTGCTACCGTGACATTTTGTGCTGCGCTATTCACTATACCTCTTGTTTGTTTGTGTTGTTATCTGTTGAAAAGGCAGAAAAGCTCCCTTCTGAGCTCAAAAGGCAGTTTACGAAGGTACTTTTTTTTTCGACGACTTCTTAATATGACATTTGATTACACACTGGTTTTCGATACAGTCGAATTGTTTTAATTTTAATAATTTTCATGACTACATGTTGGCCCCCTTTTTCTAAGAATTGATTTAAATTTAAACATTGACATCTAAATCTAGATCTAGATAGTATATGGCGCTTGATTATTGAAGAGAGATTACTGCATAGACAAAAGAAATAAATATTATTCGAGGGCGGGATGAAAAAGTTCCATAGTGAAATCCTTAACATACTTGCATATTATCATATCTCAATTTACCCATTTCCTCAAATCTCAACAGAACAGAAAAACCTACTACAGAATTTTGTTGATTAGAAGGGAGTTCGCTACTAAATTGACGAATTAATAGCAAGATATAGAATGTAGTAATTTAATATTTCCTAGCGTACCCACGCAAAGTTCTACGTATCCGCTAAGGGTTTCCCTTATATTAATTATAAATACCTGCGGAGTCAACTCAATAAAATCCTATCGGCAAAATGCTACAGTGAAACTGGGAGAATATGAATTACAGACCTTTAATTATTCAAACAGCATTTAGCATATTAATATTGTAATTTGTCAAGTTTCGAAGGGACAAGGGCATAATGAAATGCAAATTTCTAAATAACCAGTCACTTAAAAATTGAGGAAGGTTATTTAATCATAATAATTTTCGTGAAATTCCATTTACAATCTCGTAAAAGTGGATGGTGAAAGTTTTCTCTGCGTGTTTAAAACGAAAGTACGTGGCTTTGTTTAAGCCATTGTGTTGATTTGGCAATTAAAGTGAGAGCGCTGAACTCAGGGGGGGGGGGGGTTACTTCTACCACCCGTCTCATCGCGTTCGGATTTTCTCCTTTAAAGGGGAGAAAAAGAAAAAGAGTGATTTTCTTGCCTCTTTGTTACCGGATGAATGCATATTTAAGCTTTATTTCACAATAGTTTTTGTTCGCGAAAGCTAAATGAGCCAAAGAAGCGAAGCCCTAACGAAAACTTGCCGCGCTATTATTCACGGTGTCGCCGTGTAATTTCCTGAATTATTATTCACTTTTAAAATTTAAAATTTTGTAGGCCTTCCGTAAATGGAAAACTACACAGGCGACGTCAATGCCAGGCTTCAGTTTATGGAAATTCTTTTCCGAGTTTTCTAGAATGTCTATTCTAAGATTGGAATGAGGCAAGTCGCGTTCCTCGCTTTTCAATGTATAATCACTCACGTGCAGTTCTCCCCGTTTCCTACCTGTTGAAGGGTGCGTTAGAACATTTAAAATGTCCATGTTTGTATATAAATTATGCGATTTTTCTAGGCGAAGAAACAGAAGAGTCTCGGTCGAGGGGCACGTGATATTCTAGCCCGATATTGCGGGATATTTTGTAATAACCAGATCTCACGGAATTTTTTTCGAGTATGTGGTCAAATTAGATGTTAATTAAAAGAATCTCAAAACACTTACCAAAACAGTGGGGGGATCTTCGTTCTGAAACAAAAAAAGATGCATATTAACAGAAATGTAAACTGATTGTAAATTGTAATTATCAACATTTGAGCGAAGTTGCAGAGTTGTACCATAGTAAAGACGCACAAAAATAATGCAATAAATTACAACCCCTTCCGTAGGCCACGTAAACCTAAATGTCAAGTAACTTATACAATATACCTCAAAAATTAGAAGCCTATTATTAAAATTATATTAAATTATTATAAAATTGTTTAATCTTAGTACAATGAAAGGTTACTTATGTACCGTTTTAACTGCGCTGAAATTGAATTTTACTTGCCTTTCTTTTAAATATTGTGTTTTTTTAATACAAATAAAGTTACTCTTTTAGGCGCAGTTGCTTTTGATTCGGGCCCTACAGGAAATACCGAAAAAATGAGTGTATCAGAAAATTACAACCCCAAACTCAAATTTCAAGTATCAGAGCCGCTTTAACGGCCTGAGTCATTGAAATTCGGGCGACTTCATAGAAGTGGAACACTTTAGAGCGGAAAAGGGTTTTACCTGGGCAGAGCTGGGCAGTATTCGATTTTGTAAATACTTTTTAGTATTCAAATCCTTTAAAGTATTCAAATACTTTGTAACTAAATACATTTATGGAAGCAGTATTTGTATTTGTAACTCAAATACTTCCACAAATATTTAGTATTCGAGTACTTCGCAAAGTATTTGGATACTTCGTAAAGTATTCGAATACTTCGCATAGTATTTGAATACTTTGAGAAGTACTCGAATACTTCGCATAGTATTTGAATACTTAACCTTCCTTTTTTTACCAAAAAATCGACTACTCCACAATTTCCCGGGACAACACTTTTTCTTATTAATTCTGGTGCGTAGAATCCAAAACAATTCGTACTTTTTCGATCAGACTTCTCAATCAAAAGTTATAGACTAGAAACCAATTTCGAAAGAAAATTCAAAGGGCTTTAACTTTTGAACTAGTAGCCCAATCTTGGAACTGTTTGAAATTATGGATTCTACAGGCCACATTCTATAAGAAAATTTTTTTCCGGGTCGATCTGAGACAATTTTCTTTTCGGGGCTCAAAAAAAGGCAGTGTATAACCTTCTTTTTTTTACCAAAAATCGACTGCACCAAAATTTCTCGGGAAAACACTTTTTCTTATTAATTTTGGTGCGTAGAATCCAAAACAATTGGTACTTTTTCGATCAGACTTCTCAATCAAAAGTTATAGACTAGAAACCAATTTCGAAAGAAAATTCAAAGGGCTGTAACTTTTGAAATAGTAGCCCAATCTTGGAACTCTTGGACAATTTTTTTTGCTGGCCTCAAAAAAAAGCAATGTATAACCTTCCTTTTTTACCAAAAATCGACTGCACCAAAATTTATCGGGAAAACACATTTTCTTATTAATTTTGGTGCGTAGAGTAGAATCCAAATCGATTCCTACTTTTTCGATTAGACTTCTCAATCAAAAGTTATGGACTAAAAAAACCAATTTCGAAAGAAAATTCAAAGGGCTGTAACTTTTTATCTAGTAGCCCAATCTTGGAACTGTTTGAAATTATGGAATCTACAGGCCATATTCTATAAGAAAATGTATTTTCCGGTCGATCTGAGACAATTTTTTTTTGGGGCTAAAAAAAACAGTGTAACACCTTCCTTTTTTACCAAAAATCGACTACACCAAAATTTCTCGGGAAAACACTTTTTCTTATTAATTTTGGTGCGTAGAATCCAAAACAATTCGTACCTTTTCGATCAGACTTCTCAATCAAAAGTTATAGACTAGAAACCAATTTCGAAAAAAAATTCAAAGGGCTGTACCTTTTGAACTAGTAGCCCAATCTTGGAACTGTTTGAAATTATGGATTCTACAGGCCACATTCTATAAGAAAATTTGTTTTCCGGGTCGATCTGAGACAATTTTTTTTTCGGGGCTCAAAAAAAGGCAGTGTATAACCTTCCTTTTTTACCAAAAATCGACTACAACAAAATTTCTCGGGAAAACACTTTTTCTTATTAATTTTGGTGCGTAGAATCCAAAACAATTCGTACTTTTTCGATCGTAAACGCTGTTGGGGAGTTTCTCTAATCTCCATACATAACCTACAGGAGATGCTTAAAAAATTGATGCATAAAAAAACAGGTAAAAAGCAAAGTTTGTGTTTTCTCTCAAACATGATATTCGGTTACTTGCTCTCTTTAACTACATAAGGATCTACTACTTTTCTCTTGTAAATTTGGTCTGATGTCAATAACAGCGAAGCCTTATACACTACACGAAATACCAAAAAGGTATGTTTACTGTTTGTCTGCTTAACCATGCATTGATCACAAAAATCAAAGATCATTTACGCGGGGTAATTTTTGCCCTTTAAACCATCTCTGCAAAAGTGGTAGGTACAGAAGCAAACTGATACAAGTACCTCCAATCCATAGGTCCCTTGTGCCTGAACAAAGTACAAAAAGATACCGAATAGCATGTAGGTACGTTTGTTATAGAATACAGAATGCACTTCACGAAAGAAATTAAACCTTTAAAAGCTAAAAGGTAGTTTATCGAGAAACCACTTAGAGCGTTTGGACAACTTGAACGTTCGAGTCGTCTCTATTTATAGTTAATATTGCAATAGCTTTTAGAAAGGAAACCTTCATTGAAATGAAAATAAACCTAAGATCTGATGTAAGTTTACGGCACTTTAAACAATCGGATTTACAGCTCAATGATAGTAAAAGCAAACGATCCAAATACCATTTGAATAATCGAAGCGATGGTTATGTGCAGCGAAACTTTCGTGTACATCAGGAGAGTTAAAAAGAGATCAGCAAACAGCGCCAATTAGTTTCAGATACAATTTACCTCGTACTTAGAAATCTGAGTCAGCACGCGAGAAATGCAGTAAAACGCATGTAGGCATATACCCAAATTGAAATTTTTTTCGGAGGAAATTAGAGTTTCCCGAAATAAAAAACAATCATAAATCTTACATTTTTCATTTTTTTTCTCTCGCTCTGCGAATTTGTAAACTTAGGCCTTTTATATTTTAATAAAACATATTTCTTCCCTTCATAGAATATAACGAAATACATTCCGCGAATACGATCTGAATTTTGTTAAGATGCAAATATCGTCAAAGGGATCTAAAATAATATTCTCTGAAATATGGTTGTAATATGGAAAGTGGGACACTAAACGTCATAATTTGCAGATACCTCCGCGTGATGATGGCCTCTTCTATTGATCAATGCCCCTTTACGGCTCGGTGCCTTATTTATTTCTGCGCTACGTAAATAAGTCCAAAAAAAAAAACAAATACGAAACTGGCAACGGGAGCTATACAAATATTAACATTCCTTCGAGTTTTTAAATCGCGGTTTCCAAACAAACTTAAAGCTCTTTTTTATGGTGGTTGCCCCTTTTATTGCGACAAATGTTAAATTTATTCGCCGTCGGAAAGCGCAATCTAACATTATCAACGGAACAATTCGCATTTTAAGAGCTTTTTAAAATGCTAACACGCAAACAAAACCACACCAATTAATTCTACGCTAATATGGCTCCAACCTGCCCGTGTAGTTAAAATCCCATTTCTAATACACAATAAATTTGTGCTCATTTTTGGCTGTCTGTCGATAATTGTCGTGCATTTAACAGAATGTAGTCATATAGCCAACAAATGGCCCACTCCAGGAACCAATAACCCCCATATGCCATTTACAACAGTTTGATTTTTTACATTCCCATGTGGATTCTTTTTTAATGTATTGTTTGAATTAGTAACATGACTTCGCGAATAAACAAAACTAGAAAATCTTTCACCCCCAGTGTTTGGTTACATCATAAATTACACGCAATTTCTTGTTTGTATAATTTACAGAGTACAGAGTATTTTGCACCCAGAGAATTGGTTTAGTTTACTCAACAGAGAACTTGCTGGAAGCGAACATAAACGACCGCTTGAGCGTGTAGCAGGTGGAAGGTGTAAACCACAATCTAGCGTTAGTGTTGTGGAAAGGTAAACTGAGAAATTGCGTATTTTCGTGGCAATACTTGTAGGAGAATATAGTTTTAACTGATCAAAAACCGAATTGTTGAGCTTCATTCGCTAAGAAAGATTTTTAGAAACGGTTTTATTGTTTCACTCAGTTCCACCATCTCCTAGGTCTGAAGATTTGTCTTTCACACCTCTTTATAACAGTTTCCATATAATGTTAATACCAAATTTCACTATACGGAACTAAAACTGAATCTTGGTACTTTACGATGTCATATATTACCGCTAAACTGACTTTTAACAATGTTTTATTAGTTCCCGTTACTTCATTTCGACAGTGCAATTTTAAAAGCTGTTAAGGTATTTTGTTTGTTTCTAGAGTTGTAACCTGTATGGGTTAAAAGCCCCTAATCAACGATTTTTCGTTATTTGATAATATCATATAGGTTTTGTATTCTTAACAAAGTAGGCATGGATGCAGCAAATTTTTGACAGCAAATGAACCGATTATAATTATTTAGTTATTTATTTATTTATTTATTTATTTATTTATTTATTTATTTATTTATTTATTTATTTATTTATTTATTTATTTATTTATTTATTTATTTATTTATTTATTTATTTATTTATTTATTTATTTATTTATTTATTTATTTAGTTATTTGTTTATTTATTTATTTATTTACGATCCGATATTTCACACACACAGACACAAATTTATGGAATAGGTGATTTTAATCCCAACGAGTAATTCTAAAAACTGAAAAACAGGCTAAGGCGAGTAAGGAAAAGCAATGATCAGTATCTGTGGTTAAAATTTCAAAAAAATATTTCTATACATAAGAAAGTTGGTATTGCGCAGCGTAATTTTTATTATATGCGATATGTTTGGTTCTAGTAGAAGCATCTGTCGTTAAAATTTCGAAAAAATATTCCATTAAATAAGAAAGTTGACGTTGTTCAGTGTACGCATGGGCACATTAATCGTCAAGATTTTTCTTGGTTCACGTGCCA